CACCTGCCACACCACTGCGTCTCACCACCACTCCACCACACACCACTGCCGTATCACCACACACCACCACCACTACTGTGTCCTCACCACACACCACCACCACTACTGTGTCCTCACCACACACCACTGCTACTGTGTCCTCACCACACACCACCACCACTGTGTCACCACTGTTCCCACCACACACTGGTGTGTCACTCACACACACCACCACCACTACTGTGTCCTCACCACACACCACCACCACTACTGTAGTCACCACCACACACCGCACCACTGCGTGTCCTCACCCCACCACTGCTGTGTCCTCACCACACCACCACCACTTCTGTGTCCTCACCACACACCACCACCACTGCTGTGTCCTCACCACACACCACCACTGTCTGTGTCCTCACCACACACCACTGCTACTGTGTCCTCACACACCACCACCTGCTGTGTCCTCACCACACACCACTGCTACTGTGTCCCACCACACACCCACCACTACTGTGTCCTCACCACACAACACTGCTACTGTGTCCTCACCACACACCACCTGTGTGTCCTCACACACACCACCACCACTCTGTGTCCTCACCCTGCACTGGCTGTCCTCACCACACACCACCACCACTTCTGTGTCCTCACCACACACCACTGCTACTGTGTCCTCACCACACACCACCACCCCTGTGTTCATCACCACCACCACACCACCACTCTGTGTCCTCACCACACACCACCACTCTGTGTCCTCACCACACACCACCACTACTGTGTCATCACCCACACCACTGCTGTGTCCTCACCACACACCACCACCACTGCTGTGTCCTCACCACACACCACTGCTGTGTCCTCACCACACCACCACCACTACTGTGTCCTCACCCACAACACCACCACTGCTGTGTCCTCACCACACACACCACCACTGCTGTGTCTCACCACACACCACCACCACTGTGTCCTCACCACACACACCACCGCTACTGTGTCCTCACCACACACACCACCACTGCTGTGTCCTCACCACACACACCACCACCACTACTGTGTCCTCACCACACACCACCACTACTGTGTCCTCACCACACACCACCACCACTGTGTCCTCACCACACACCACCACCACTGCTGTGTCTCACACACACCACTGCTGCTGTGTCCTCACCACACACCACCACTACTGTGTCCCTCACCACACACCACCACCACTACTGTGTCCTCACCACACACCACCACTACTGTGTCCTCACCACACACCACCACCACTACTGTGTCCTCCCCACCCTGTCCACCACACCACCTGCAGTGTCCTCACCACACACCACCACCACTGCTGTGTCCTCACCACACACACCACTGCTCCTGTGTCCTCCACCACACCACCACCACTGTGTCCTCACCACACACCACCACCACTGTGTCCTCACCACACACCACCACCACTACTGTGTGCTCACCACACACCACCACCACTACTGTGTCCTCACCCACACACCACCACCACTTCTGTGTCCATCACACACACCATCACCACTGTGTCACCACCACCACTACTGTGTCCTCACACACACCACCACCACTGTGTCACCACACCACCACCACTCACACCACCACCACCACTGTGTCATCACACACACCACCACTACTGTGTCTCACCACACCACCACCACCTGTGCCATCACCACACCACCACCACTGCTGTTCTCACCACACCACCACTGCTGTGCCATCACACACCACCACCACTGCGTTCATCACCACACACCACCACCACTACTGTGTCCTCACCACACACACCACTGCTGCCCAGTCACTCACACACACCACCACCACTACTGTGTCCTCACACACACACTGCTGCGTGTCATCACCACCACCACTACTGTGTCCTCACCACACACACCACCACCACTGCTGTGTCACTCACCACACACCACCACCACTGCTGTGTCACCACACACCACCACCACTACTGTGTCCTCACCACACCACTGCTCTGTGTCCTCACCCACACACCACCACCACTGCTGTGTCCTCACCCACGGGTGTCATCACCACCACCACCACCACTGCTGTGTCCCACCACACACCACCACCACTGTGTCCTCACCACACACCACTGCAGCTGTGTCCTCACCACACACCACCACCACTCTTCACCACCACCACCACTTTCACCACACACACTGCTGCTGTGTCCTCACCACACACCACCACCACTGCTGTGTCATCACCACACCCACCACTCTGTGTCCTCACCACACACCACCACCACTGCTGTGTCTCACCACACACACTGCACCATCACCACACACACCACTGCTGTGTCCTCACCACACACCACCACCACTGCTGTCCTCACCCACCACTGCTTGTGTCCCACCCACCACCACTGCTGTGTCCTCACCACACACCCACCACTGTGTCCTCACCACACACCACCACCACTGCTGTGTCCTCACCACACACACCACCACCACTGTGTCCTCCACACACACCACCACCACTTCTGTGTCCTCACCACACA